TATAATTAACCGTGATTAAAGCAGGGATTAATGTAATTAAGCCCAAAACAAAACTCCATTCCATTTTATGTTTTACATTCATCCACCGCGCATTTTGACTCTGCATTTCGAACCCCTCTCTTTCTATCTTCTTTTTTCTTTCTTTCGCTCAATTTCTCTCAAATTACCTATTTCATTTTGATATTCGTTCCAATAATTGTCAGGCTACCTTTCATATCATAACGATGGATAACAACAACAACCCCGACACCAATGCCAACGCCAATGCCATCGTATCGATGGATAACCTGAACCAGGTCGCCACCTGGGTTAGCACCACCGTCATCTCCGCCTTCTTTTCGTCTCTGGAGCGTTTTTCCTGCGTCAATATCGCTACCTTTGATCCCGACGAGGATGATTTTGAAGATGAGGAGAAGGACCGCCCTCTCGCTCTCACCAACAACCCCCACCAAAGCGAAGACGACGACGTCGCCAACCTTCCAGTTTGATTACCCGATGATAAATTTCATTGGTAATTTTAGTATCGCATGCCTGCATATCCCCTCTCCAAAACCCCCCGATCCCCCAAGTTTTAAATTTTATCTTCTGTTTGTGGATTTTATGGGTTTTATACATACAAACCGTAATTCTGTGATTATATGATGATTTTCAATCTTATCAATGTCGAATTCGTATCTGTTATGTGAGGGCTTAATGCTTCTTGATACAGCTATTTTTATGTTGATATGTTTTAATGCAGCTATTTTTATATTGATATGTTTTAATGAATTTATTTTTTATTTTTTATATCTTTTGAAGTGCCTATTCTTCGAGAAGTTGAATGCTTTTAAATTTTGAGGTTTTAATTATCGAATTATAGGGAATGATCAAGGTGGGGTAAGGCTGACGGTTTTTAGCCCATGGCATCAATCATCTTGTTGTCCTGTTTCCTTTTCTTGTATCTGGTTATTTAAACTATGTCTAAAACCTTTTCACAAATGGAACTGCATTGAATGTTGTCTGAAATATAGGTCGAGGTGTTGCAGAACTGTTGACCCCTCGTTCTTGATGTAAGCTGATGATGTTTGAAATGGAAGGGCACAAAAATCTTTTGTCGTCATTCACATGAAGTATCATAAAATCTAACTGGAAAGAGTTGTGTGAGTATGTGTCTAGCATGTGTTTTTTGTTCTTGTGGACATGGCAGTTGTGCCAGCAATGAAGAGCATGAGGCAGCAGGACCATCCTAGTGCTCATATGTTCACACAATTATTGTCCAATAGAATGTAGAATAATATAAAGGATAAAGAAATGTAGCTTAATTGATCTGTTTTTCCAAGATGATGTAGCAAGTGTTAAATTCTGTTGATGTAAGTTTGCCTGCTTGTGATTTCTTATTTTTAAGATTAACATAAATGGGTTTAGAGGTATAGAGTTGAGTCTCTGTAACGGCAGTCAAAGAAACTTTTGCTGTCTGTCTTGGAAGCTTTCAGCAATTTCTGGCTTTTAAAAGTCCATCAAACCTTGTAATTGACTTATCACAGCCTTCTATTTATATTATTTCAATAAAGCAAGTTTGACCATTTTAAATGCTACCTTGGCTGTCAATTAGGTCAGGCTACCGTTCTTGATGGGGAGAGAGGACCAATAAAACAATGTTTTTCCATTAGAAAATTGTGTTGTGATCTCCTGTTTTAGGGTCATCATCGAATGTTTTTGGATCAAACTCCTCGTATGTGTGATTAGCTTTATGAAAAAGGGAAAGATTGTAGTGTACAAGTAGCCTGAAGCTAAGTCATGGACAATACGAAGTAGTCAATGATTATGAATAAAATGGACCTGGGTTATCCCAAACATGGAGTAGTTCTTGCAATTATCTTGCATTTCACTTGATCCTGAATGAGAGAGGGAGATGATATAGGAACATCTCTATATCTGCTTAGCTGATATTTACCATTTGTTTTTGTCTCATTTGAGCGCTTTTTTTTTATTAGAAAAAAAATCCACTTCCTTTTCGTTTTCCATTCTAGTTTCAAGTTATTTTTATTATTTATCAAAAGTAGCATCTACGTTGCACATGGACATGATTGCATTATGTTGGCACAGCATTATTCTTCTGAAAATTCCCAGAGAAATAAATTTCCAAGAAAATATGTCTACTATTTATGAAGTGAAATAAAATAGGTGTAGCTTGATGGTGCTAATGTCACTTGCATCTTGAAGGAGTATTCTGTTGCCTTCATTTAAAATCTCACTGTAAGAACTCCTACACTAAACACATTCGTATCACCTCTTCTCTCTACCCAATTTATGGACATTAGATTCCTAGTATATAGCTTATAAAAGTTCTACATACATGATGCATATAGTATTCTTGTGTAGATTGCCAGTCCGGCAATGTTCAACTTACCTGCATTACTCATCTTTATTCTCCTTCCAGCAGAGCAGCATTGTGATGCAGCGTCTGATTATATACAACCTTGCTTTTGCCCCCTTCAAACCCTTGTTCTTAGACTGAACTTCGGTTTGCCTCTTGGGAGAAGAAATAGCTTTCTCTCTCTTGGGAACAGACAATTCCATGGAGTTGATCGTTTCTCAAGTTCTTCTGCCCTTTTTCTGCAACAATCTCTTTTGCAATTGTTTCACTCTTTATAAAGATTTTCATTTTCTTTTTCCTTTGAGAATCTTCTGTAGCGGTTACTAGAGTTCATTTCAGTTCTATTTTGAAGTAAATAATTGGAGAAAGTGGCAATGACCTGAGTTACTGACTGGTTATTAAGCCTTTTCGGTCAACCACAGAGCTGGTTTTCTGTCATATGCTTTCCAGGTTTAACATCCAGGTTTTCAGGACAGCTGTCTCGTGTAATTAACCAAATCAGTATTGTGCTTCCAGGATTTATTGCCTAAAAGACAAATGAATCACTTGGCGTTTGTAGCCAATAGGCATATCCAGTAGCATGGTTTTAAGTCTTTATGCAGCTTTTTTCATTAACTTGGTAATTTAATTTAATATTTTGGATACTCAGAAGCATAATTACCTTGGCTGAGGTAGGTTTAGCCTTTTTCCTTATCATTTTTCAGATGAAGCGTGTTTTTATTTAGATGCTCAAGCTTTAAGGTTATACAATTTTGTCCTCACATAGGGCAGCAAGAACAGTAGCTAAGTCTTATATGTGACAAATTTCAATACCTATAGCTTACATTGCCAACTGTCCTGAATCCTGTTAGAGCTTTGGTATTAGCAGTGCCAAGAAAGGCATGTTTCTGGGTAAGGGAACGTTTCCGCTGATTTCCTGGAGCCAACATTTCTCGAGTTTTGATAGATTAATCCCACGCCTCGCTGGTCTGACTGCACCTTATGTGTTCAATTTTTCTTTGAAAAAAGTTTTAAAAAGAATTGCAATTTAATTTTTAAAATTGGAGCCTTCCATGATGAATTTCAATTTTATTTATTTGGTTCCTAACAAGGTTTGAAATTATGCTTGAAAGATTTTAATTTCAAATAATAATATGTTCGAAATTCAGGATTAGAACTGTGAATGAATCAAACTGAATTATCTTTCTTCGGCTTGATTACAGTTGGATGAAGATATATTTAAATTCAAACGCATTTGAATTTGAAAAACTAAGTTTATCGAGCAGTGTTTAAACCAGTTTTTTCTTTTCAGGTTGATTTACAGAGAAACTGAAAATAACAAAATCATAATAATAGTAATCAACTAATCGTCGTACATTGGGATAATCACATGTTAGTCATGTAATGATCCCATGGAATAAACGAATGTTCAAACTTCTCAGGGCTCACTTGTTTTCTTTTCAAACAAACAAATAACTAGAAGTTAAAAAGACGAAGGGAGAGTGCCTGCCTCCGCCTGGGCCGGGCTACAGGGCCTAGGGCTGCTGCTCCTCTCTGACTAATCTTAGAATAAAACAGACATCTTTGACGTCAAAGATTGAAAAGTTAGGGTTAGGGTTAGGAATTCTGGTTTTTCCTCTTCTTTTACTATCTCTCTCTCTTTGTTTTTTTAGAAAATTTCATAGATTTCTTGATTGAAGTTCAATATCGACAAATAGCTCCAATGATGATTACACAGAAGATTTCATATTTCGTTCCAATTTCTGAAGATCTGGTGTATATATGTTGATCTGCTTTTTTTTTTTTTTTAACTCTGAGGAGCTTCAATTTGTCATCTTTCCTCTTCTCTCCGCCTGTTTTCTTCAATTAAATACTAAATTTTTTCCTTTGGTTTCATTTATTTAGTCCTCTTCCATTTTTAAACTGATCGAACTTGCTGTTTTAGGCGCAGAATGAGCTTCAGCCCTTTTTTTTCTGTTCATTTTCCAATTTCTTAATTTAAAAATTACTTAATTTAAAGGTTTAGATAAGTTTGGCTAAAACTAATATTGCTAATTTGTAAAAAAGCTAGTTTATTATTTTACTTTTGTATAATTTCTCATCATTGTATTCCAAAATCTTTAGACATAAAGTTAAATATTTGTATCCAATAATTGAATTCAATTATTAATAATACTATAATAAGTTCAGTGTAAATTTTGATTTTTCTAATAATTAATAATTCCGAATAATAAATTCATTGTATTGAGAAAAAGATTTTCAGTTTCCAATAAATATAAATTTTAAGTTATAAATTTTTTTAGTACTACTTTTTTTCTATTCATATTCACTAAGAAAAGATAATTTTAAAATTCTTATTAATTATTGAATTAAAAAAAGAAAAAAAAAAGAAATTGAAAGGTTTTATTATTAGAAATAATATTAATAATATTATTAATTATTTAGATTTTTTTAAACGGTTAATAATTATTTGGTTATATATTCATAGATGGATCATAACATGAGACCTTATGTAAAGTCACAGCAATCATACAAAATTAGATAGTCCTTTTTTCTGAAAAAAAAAAAAAGATATAAATAAAATGCAAATGATGTCTTGTCCCAATAGTATGACCATGTGTTAGATTCTAAATTCGAAAGAAACCCACGAAACAGACGAATATTTTATATATTCCTTTTGCGGAAATATATATATCTTATGTACAGAATATGTATAGAACATGAGATTTCGTATGTATGGTAGCCTTGAAATTAGATTCCTTCCTTCGCTTGGCATTGTTCCGGCGGCCAAGAAAGTTCAAACTTTTATCTAGCAAACAAAAACTCCAGCTAAAACCATAAAAATCCAATTGCCGGCCTCTTTCTTGAAATTCTCATCCATTTGTATTCAATCATGGCTCCATTAATCAGACCTCCACTGCAACTCCTTTTCAACAATGGCAAACTCTCAATCTCAAAAGCTTGATCTTGTTTTTATATTAGTGTTTTCTTTGTTATTCTTGCCCACCATGACTACTTTAGAATCTTTGTCCCCTTGCAATAACATAGGCCCTGTAATTCCCACCACACCCTTGATTACATTTCTTGAACGTGTTCAAGAAACTGCACTTGACACTTTTGGAAAGAAAGGTTTTGATCCAAAACTGTATGTCGATTTGTCCTTAAAGTTCAATCTTTCAACGACCGAGAAGGCATTTGATGGGCTTCCAAGGAATGAAAATGGGAATGTTTTGGTTAAGGACTTGGAGGAGTTTATAGCAACATATTTTGAGGATGAGGGGGACGATTTGGTGTACTATGATCCACCGGATTTTGTGCCTGAGCCAGACGGATTCTTGCCTGAGGTAGAGAACTTGGAGGTGAGGGAATGGGCTTTAAAGGTTCATTCTTTGTGGAAGAATTTAAGTAGAAAAATCTCAGGTGAAGTCCTCAAACAGCCTGAATTACATACTTTGCTTCCTTTGCCGGAGCCGATGATTGTGCCGGGCTCACGTTTTCGAGAGGTGTATTACTGGGATTCCTATTGGGTGATCAGGTTAGTGTTAGCTTGTCAATGTTACTTGTGGAAATGAAAGTTCTAATATGAATAAGTCTCTTGCAGGGGTTTGCTGGCAAGTAAAATGTATGAGACTGCAAAATCAATTGTGACTAACCTCATTTCCCTTGTAAATAAATATGGCTTTGCTCTTAACGGAGGAAGGGCCTATTACACCAACAGAAGGTAATATTTCGTACAGTTTCTTAATTATTGGTATTTTTTTTCCCTCTTTCCTAGAAAAGAATTTTCTGATGTGTACTATATGTCTATATCTATTAGCTCTGACAACACTTTGTTATTTTTCCATTTTGAATTCTATAGCTTTTCTCGTTGCTAGCTTGCACAATATCTGAACTTTGCTCTTAAATATTGATGTTTGTCCTGTTTTTCTCTGCTATATTCAATTGAACCAAGTCCTAGCATATTTCATGTTTTGTCATTGATTAATTATAGCACAATGCAGCCAATTGTGTAAATAATGGTCTGTAGGAAGTAAGAATGAGTCTTGCCCTTCACATGAAGGTTCCTCTACTATAGCTTGGAGGTCAAAGCTTGTAATATGATCTGTCTCAATGCTGAAACATTAGGCTTTTGCAACTATTTGCGTGGATATATACTTTCTGTTAATTGGATATACATGCTTTTGAAATGTGCAAGAACACTCTATTGCAGAGTTTTGAAGGAATTCCTTTATTGTTGGTATAATTCCATTTTGTGTCCAAACTTGTTAGTCACTTTACCAATAAAAGGAGCTTCTTCATGTGCATATGATTCTCATATTTGGGGACTAGCATAGCTAGTTACTAGTTTCCCCTTTGTTTGATTTCAATCATGTCAGAAAACAATGCTGAGCAGAATCAATGCATGTAATGTAAGCTTGGGGCACTTTTTTGCAGCGAACCTCCTCTCCTGAGTGCAATGGTGTATGAGATATATAACAGAACTGGTGATATGGAATTGGCAAAAGCGGCACTGCCTGCATTGCTCAAGGAACATGAATTTTGGAATTCTGGTATTGTGTGTGTGATATTGCATTTCTTTTTGCTTGCTGTCTTCGCTTTGTTTTGAACTTTGTAATTGATACATTTTCTTGTTGTAGAGATGCATAAGGTCACCATCCAGGATGCTCAAGGCAGCAATCACATCTTAAGTCGGTATTATGCAAAGTGGAACAAACCTAGGCCTGAATCTTCAACCATAGTGTGTTCTTTCCTCCAGCTTGGCTACCTTAGCATGTTGTTCCACATCATACACTGTATGGTTTTCCATCTTGAATTTATACTTACCGACTCATTTCCACTTCTAGGACAAGCAATTTGCTTCCAAGTTATTGAATGTCTCTGAGAAACAGCAATTTTATCGAGAAGTGGCTTCAACTGCTGAATCTGGATGGGATTTCAGTACAAGATGGATGAGGTATTATGTGGTGTGGCTAAAAGGAAGCTGTTAAAATAATTACTCTACCAAACTGGTAGAAATGGACGATATTTATAAGGGTTTTGTTGTTGTAGGAATCCTTCAGAGTTCACAACATTGGCTACAACATCAGTCTTACCTGTTGATTTAAATGTATTTATACTTAAGGTGTAACTCGGTATCCTCCATTAGAATGCTTGAGATGAGTTAACTTCTGCGCTTAATGTGACGAGAAGAATTCATCTGTTTATCCAGATGGAACTAGACATCGCCTTCTTGGCAAAAGAAACTGGAGAGGAAAGCCTTGCAGAGAATTTCTTGGAGGCTTCTCAAGCAAGAAAGAGGGCAATCAACTCCATTTTCTGGAATGAAAAGATGGGGCAGTGGCTTGATTACTGGCTCACTGGTAGCACCACATGCCAGGTGATGTAGCCTTAGTGCTGCTAAACCATACGTCACAGTTTTGGCATTTTTTTCCATTTCCTTTCACTAATTTCTTTGATTTATTATGTTCAGGAAACATGGAAAGCTTCTAACCAGAATCAGAATGCATTTGCTTCAAATTTTTCCCCTTTGTGGATTAATCTGTTCAATTCAGGTAAGTAACTCATAGTATCCATTTTGAGACCGTGTATTAAGCAGAGTGGATTGAAATAATGCCCTGCTTTTTATAAGGAGTTCCAAAAGATAATCTCAAGCTTTAATCGAACAGTTGTAGTTAGATGAATACTTATAATGACTCTGTTTTGATCATATATGAAGATACTACTTTGGTGAAGACTATCATGAGAAGTCTTCAAAGTTCAGGCCTGCTATGTGCTGCTGGAATTGCTACTTCTTTAAAAAATTCAGGACAACAATGGTACATAATATGTTCAACAGTTACTTGTGCTTCATGTACATTTTATAGGTAACAAAAGTTATAATTGATATAGTCTGTGAATGGATGGAAATTGTATCAACAGGGACTTTCCAAACGGTTGGGCTCCGCTTCAACACATGATAGTTGAAGGCCTGGTAAGATCTGAATCACAAGAAGCAAGATCATTAGCAGAAGAAATAGCTAAGAGATGGATCAGAACCAACTATATTGGATACAAGAAAACAGGTGTAATGCATGAAAAGTACAATGTAGAAAAGTGCGGAGAATTTGGAGGAGGTGGTGAATATGTACCTCAGGTATTCACATAAGCCTAATTGTGGAAGAATATATACTAATACCTGCATCTATTAATTCTTGTGAAGCATTTGCTGCTAATATTTTCCAATCCCAGAACAAATAACTTACCTGTGTCTTCCTACTAACTTGTTAATGCTTTTGGCCATAAAAAGCAGACTGGTTTTGGTTGGTCAAATGGAGTTGTGTTGGCATTTCTGGAGGAGTTTGGATGGCCTCAAGATCAGAGAATAGATTGCTGATTGGCCAGGAAATTGAGAGTATATATATATCAAGGAATGACTTTAACAGTAACAGAATTGTGTCAAATTCTCAGAAAGTACATTCCTTTGCTTGTGAGTTCTTGTTCTATTTTTTTTAATTCATTGGAAGCTTTTATGGGCCGAAATAACAATGTGGTCGAAAGGACTCGAACTTGAGACTCCAACTCCTCACATACGTGAGAAAACCAGACCACCAACTGATCGGCAAGTTCTTGTTCTATTTGCATTGGATCTATATATATATATATATCCTTTCAACTCTGATAGATGTGGAATTGGGATAAAAAGGATAGAAATTAATTAAGGTCACTTTCTGTTTCTGAGCTTTTCTCCTAACAACCAAGAAGTTGCTGGACACAAGCAAGCAAAACCAAAACAAGGGTAAATGATCTACTTTATGATGTTTTGTGTGTGTTAGATAGGGTGCATGTTTATTAGAGTGATTAGGGTAAGATTTTAACCCTATAATATGTTGCCTAGTGTTGTTATTTGATAAGAATTATGTGAAGAAGATTAGGTTTCCTAATCATGACACAAAATTTGGATATGCTCTAGAAGAAGAAGAAGTAATTAAAATCATTGATAATACAATAATGCTTCCAAAGCTGGTGGAGTTAGTTGCTTAATATTTAATTAGTTTATGTCACCATCTTAACTATGAAACTAATAAAAGATAATTAATCATACTAATGATAATTAATTTACAAAGAAGATTTGCACATAAGCTTGTCGCACTCCAACTCAAATGTGGCCATCTTTGTGGACTCATTACATCACAAAAAGATGTAGGGCCAGTCTATTTAGTGGTTGGTGGTGGGCCATTTGATAGATCCTATTATTCTTTTTATACCCATTACGAATTTATAATAGTTTTGCTAATTAAGGATTAAAATAAAAAATTAATAATCTACCCTTAAAGCCTAATTTGTAGCAAGATTAACATGCATTTTTTTTGTTTTTATGGAATAATTAAGACAAAGATCAACACTTTAGTGCGTATATTTTACAACCCAAAAACACCCATATGGAAGAGAGTGGAAGAGGGGAAGTATCCACTGCAGGTATCTAGGAGATTCCTAATTTTGATACTAAGTCTGAGTTTGACAATAATTTTTTAAGTGCTTTTAGCGTTTTATCATTATTTTTTATAATATCCGGTGAAATGGTGTTTAGACTAGATTTAAAGATTAAGGTAGTATTTTATAAAAGATCAACCCTGCAACATTCGGACACGCTGCAAAAATAGCTATCAAAACAATTAATTTTTCCGAATAAAAATGCATATCATTAAATTAGGTATTTAAGCACTTTTTAAAATTAGAATTGGGATTATCTTTTGGAATTCTTTTTTTTTTTTTTTGAATTTTTTTTACGCTTTTTTCCTTTTTTTTTTTTCTTTTTGAAATTATCTTTGTATGGATGTGATTCATGCCATATTTTCTTGTTCCATAAGAAACCATTAACAAATTATAAGCAATTACATTACAATATTGTATGCAAAGGGGTTATTTATATCAAGATGGTGGAGAGATGATTAGTGTCATCACAAAGATTAATAAAACTAGGGTAGGAGATTAGGAAGTGTGGCCCTAATTTGAAGGGAAGAGGGCCCAATAAGATTCTGGGCTCCTCCCAAAAAATAAAACAAATTGGCAATCATTGAAGAAGAGCAATATACAATTGCACCATTCATATATTCTTTGCATATAATAATTAATAATAAATAAATAATTGTTTCCATTTGAGATTAGGAAGTAAGTGGGAAGTAATGACCAGTTGTGCATCTTATTAGTCAAATAGAGTTGGCCAACAACACACACATAAAATGAGAGGATTTTAAAAAAAAAAAAAGAAAAATATTTATTAATATTTTTAATTAATATAATAATTAAAACAATCACATACAAAATCCAATGGTTGATCTGATTGGGTGTGTCCATATGTAACAGACAAATGAAATCAACTTTTTGGTCACAACACAATGTGTATCTATAGACTACGTGTTTCTAATCCATTCACTATATTGACAAAATTAATTCATTTTAATGTTAAATTTCAGAGTCTAATCATCGCAAATTGACTCATTTTAGTCTTCTTGCTACATCATGTGTGTCACGCTGTTCTATTAGAAAAATCATTTTCTTATAAATTGACTATCTTCTTTATAAAAAAATTATGGAATCAAATAGTTTTATTCTTCAATAAATATACATTTTAAGTAAAATTATATAACAAACTTTATGCATGAATCTAGATTTTTCTTGGGTATTTTTATACTTTTTTTAGTACAAATACAATACAAATTTTATTTTCAAGATTCATAAAGTGTTTTTAATTTATTTAATATCTTTATAATTTATGTAAATATATACATATTTAAAACTATATACGTATTTGGTAATAAAAATTATAGACTTTCCATCTTGGATTAAGAATTTAAGACTAAATTGGTAATAAAAACTTTACTTTCCAAATTTGATTTTAAATAATTAATCAAAAAAATTATATTTTCATATTTGATTAATAATTCAAGGTTGAATAATTAATCAAAATTAACTTTTATCAAAAGAATTTTTGTATCAATCATAAAAATAAAGTTTAATTATTTTTATTTCTTTTTTTTATATGGAAAGGTTGTGGATTTGATTCATACAACTGATGATTCTAATTAAATTTTTAATCTTAAAAATCCGGTTCGGTTCTAATAATAAAGAAGAGTATTGCATTTGCATATTGCACAGCGAAGATTAAAGAAAAGAAAGAATGATGGACCGGCTAACTTTTTATGCCAAGGAAATGCCAGATTCGAGGCCGTAGGATTGACCGATCTGTACCCCTCACGTGCGATTCCCCTTTGACCATTTTACTCTCACTCTGCCACCTCTACCCTCGTGCCATCGATTTTTCGCCTTAATTAATCGCCGACTCATCTTCAACCAATCACCTACGTACGCATGCCAAAAGCAATTAGCGCCTCTACCACTTATTTATTACTTCTTCCGCTATAAAACTGAAGGTTTAGAGAGGGAGACCGCGAGGGTTTGATATCGAATTGAATCAAACCACGAGAATTGAAAATCAAAAATAATTTTTTATTAAAATTGAATTAAATCGAACTAAATTTATAAATCGAACTAAATGAATCAGTTTGATTTAGTTCACTTCGATAAATCGGTTCAATTTTATTTATAAAATAGTTATTTTATAATAATCAACCCAAAAATTGAAAACTGAAACCATGGAAATTGAAAACCGAATTAATCTTTTTTTCAAAGTTTGCTCCCCTCAAGAGATTATCATTCTAGTAAAAAAAAATTAAAAAAAAAAAAGTTAATAATAGCAATTATGACTGTTGGTTAGCCCGGGAACAGAATCGCCCATCCCATTGAAGGAAATGCTGTATTTAATTTAACCAACAAAAAAACCCGGTCAATTGCCGATATTTCTAATTAATCGTATTCCATACCTGATGATTAATTAAAGTAAAAAAAGTAATAATTAAGATTAAGCTTTGGATTAGGCCACCATTAAACAAACATTAAGCTGCAATCATACAACAATGACAAATGTATAATCCTCTCCTTTTTCATTTTCCCTCTTAATGGATTCTCCACTTTGTACTATTTTAAAATCCCCAACTCCTTTAATCCCTTTACCATTGCCGGTATTCCGTATCCATCAAACTCTTCTTCTTTATCTCTATCTCTATCTCTGTCTCCCTCTTTATCTCTCACGCACAGTCTGTCTCTCTCAGTAAATGCAAAACGGCGTAGCCTGCAAAAATCTGACCAACAAACAAACAAAAGCTATTTTCTCTGCTTCCATATCACCGCTATCTACACCTGCAAACTACGTGCTTCGTCTTTGCCTTTTCTCGATTCCATTGTTAGTCAATAAAGCAGTCGCTTACAATTAGTTGTGGACACTGCGGGGAGAGCGTGAAACCAAAGCATCACAGCCAGAGAGAGAAGAAAATGCTGGAAACTTTTAAGTACCTCATCGGCTCGGCCGGTCCAAGTGGATTTGGTTCTAAGTCCACCGCCGAGCAAGTGACCGAAGGATGCGATCTACGTTGCATGACCGCCATCATTACTGGTGAGCTATTCGGTTCCATTTTCCATTTGCACACAGAATATCCATTATTTTCGAGGTTTTTGTATTTTAGGAAGTTGTTTGTTTGATCGTTTGGTTTAATTTACAGGCGCTACTTCAGGAATTGGAGCGGAAACGGCGAGAGTGTTGGCGAAACAAGGAGCGAGGCTGGTATTACCGGCTCGGAACATGAAGGCAGCCGAGGACGCCAAGGCGCGTATAGTATCGGAATTTCCTGATTCCGAAATCATCGTTATGGCACTTGATCTTAGCTCTCTCAACTCCGTTCGAAACTTCGTTTTAGAGTTTGAGTCTCTCAATTTGACACTCAACCTCCTTATGTAATTATTAATTCTACAGCAACTCTATTCTTCATGAGATTTCTGTTTGGTAGTCAAGAAAACGAAGTAAAAGGAAATAAACTCATATTTTTTTCTTTGACATCAGAAATAATGCCGGAAAGTTCGCACACGAGCATGCAATATCAGAAGATGGAATAGAAATGACCTTTGCCACTAACTATCTCGGTAAATCAGGCAAAGATAATGACCGCTTTTGATAATTATACACAGAATGAATTAGACCTGAAGTTATGTTTTATGATGGAATTTTCAGGTCATTTTCTGTTGACGAAATTGTTACTAAAGAAGATGATCGAAACGGCTAGAGAATCCGGCATCCAAGGGAGAATCGTGAACGTTTCATCTAGTGTTCACAGCTGGTTTTCCGGCGATATGATCCGATATCTCGGTGAAATATCCCGAAATAAATGGTGAGATGCCAAATTAGTACTATTTTTTGGTACTAGTACAATATGCATCTTTGGTTTGACCTTTTTCTTCTGAAAATTTTGTCTTCGTCTTCTTCTCTCTCTCCAGTCATTACGATCCCACACGTGCTTACGCTCTCTCGAAGCTCGCTAACGTTTTGCACACCAAGGAGCTTGCTCAGAGACTGAAGGTGTTGGCTCTTTTATTATTTATTATTTAATGCTGCAGAAAAAAGCGAAATTTGTTGTTTTCTTTTAGTTTTTCTTTTCTTCTTTTCCATGAATTTATTGTGTCATTATTGTCTTCTTTAACTGCTTAATTAATACAGCAAATGGAAGCCAACGTGACCATCAACTGCGTCCATCCAGGAATCGTGAGAACCAGACTCACCCGGGAACGAGAAGGCCTTGCCACAGGTTAAAAACAAACTCTCTCTAAACCCAATTACATGACAAATTACTGTAAAATTAAAGGAAAAAATAGAAGAAGAATGACTAATAATTTATATTTTGCACATGCAGACATGGTGTTTTTCATGGCTTCGAAGCTTTTGAAGACAATTCCTCAGGTGATTATTAGATAACTGAGCTTGTGAAAGTTGATTTTCTTTTTTTATGATTAAATGAATAGTATTTTGTTAATTGTGTATACAGGCTGCTGCTACAACTTGTTATGTAGCTGCTCATCCAAGACTGTTGAATGTTTCTGGAAAGTATTTTGCAGATTGTAATGAAGCTTCAACGTCGAAATTGGGATCCAGCTCAACAGCAGCTACAAGGTTATGGTCCGCTTCTGAACTCATGGTTTCTAGAGAACCAAAAGCAGTTTTTGACCCACTCAATGCCATAGAATATGGTGCATAAAGAAAAATAAAAGGTAGAAGAAAACTATATATAAACGAAATAGAATATTTAGAAAAAGAAGAAGAAGAGATAACCCGATATTTAGCTAGCTCCTAATGGAGAGAAAAGGTCCAAAAAAAAAAAAGCTAGAGAAAAAGGAGAGCTTAGAAACTCATATACAAGTGTACACAGCTTAGTTAGACCAGAGTATGATTAGTATGGCATACATGTACTGGTTATATTAATAGATACTAATATATAATATGTGTCCTTTTTACTGATTATTTTTTATTTTTTGGTTAAAGGGTTTGGGATCATAAGGAATGCTAATATATATTTGAATTGGCTTGATTTGGTATAATTATAGAATGATTACAGGGTAGTGATTAAGTGCGGGAATGAGGTATCTGATTGGAAATGAAAGTGCTTGGAAACCCAAGCTAGGAGAAGATGTATATATTGTAAATAAAACCAACTAAAATGTTGAAGATTAGCTTGTTATGATTATATTGGTGTTGATGGTTTTTGATATAGCAAATTGATGAAGCTGCCAGGAATCTATAATCAAGAATTAACAATGATTAATGATATTATGTAATGGTGCAAGATTGATTTTAATTTTATTAAGAAGGGAAAAAATTGAGAAGAAAGAATAATAAGTGGGCAATAAGAACATGGGGTCGGTTTGTAGCATGTGGTGGATGATTTTTGAAGAGTATCTTTGAGGTAATGGTGGATGGGACCCTACTAACATGCGCCAGGGGATTGGGGGTTGGAGGGAAACATGCTTTTAAGGAAAGGAGATTCATAACTTTCTCTCTTACTTTCTCACCAGGTTCTATAATTACCAATCAATAGAGTTATTGTAAAAATGCATTGCTCAGGTTACCGTCTGTTTGATATCTGTAGCATATAATTAATTATTTTAATAGTTGTTAATTTATCTGTTAAATTGTTTATTAACTGTCGACCGTTTAATTAGCATTTTCATCAAACATTAAAGGAACGTCTTTAAATATTAATAAAAAGACTACATTACCAAACACTATAAATATTAGTAAAAAGACTGCACTGAAAATAATAAAAATAGTGTGTTTAACTTGAGAGCCATATGAAAATCTGCTGTGGAACATAGCCTATTTCTTTAAAAAAATATAAAAAGAAATTTGTTAAATTAAGAACACAGGTATTTGAGGTTGGCTTAGGTCACCGTTTTACACTTTCTGAAACCTCTCTTTTCTATTCTTAGAACAGTAAGTACTTGTGTGGTGTGGTATGATAACTCGTGCTTCAATTTTTCTACTTAAGACCTACATTTCTTTATTAGCCCAAGGTCCACTATTGGGTTACATGTCCCTTTCACGCACATGCATTAAATTGACAATTATCATTTCTCCGATTTGCATACCTCTTCAATGAGAATAAATATAAAGATAAGGTAAGATTTTCGAGTACCTCTGCCATGAACATTTCTGCTTCCAAGAAAAACTGGCCTCCAACTCCTTTGAAATCTGACAAGCAAAAAATGGATTCCTTTTCCGTTTCCTTGCTACTTGTTAAGAGGCGAACTATCAATCATCCACGGGGTAAAATTACCCAAATTGTTTGTTAAATCAAAGCCCAACTTTGATCAGAATCTCTTACTATATGTGATGAAAACAATGGGTAATTAGTATATAGTCCCTAGGTTTTTCTCAAATATATAAATAAAGACTTTAATTTTTAGAATTATACAATTTAATACATGTTTTATAATTCTGTTATATTTTAAGATCGGATTATTAATTTTTCTATTAAGTGATTGTAAATTGTCAAAAATACTTCTAAAAATAATTACTATATTATCTTCATGATTTATTGAAATACACTATTCTTAATTTTCATAATTTTTTATATTATCTGGTCTTTATACAATAATTATCTTTAAAGGTGTTATGAATATTTCACGACCACTTAGCGATAGTAAAAATTGCACCACTAGTGTCACGACCCATTTCCGTGGGCCGGACCGGCACTAGGGCCCAGGTAAGCTTAAGGCCCCCGAGGCCCGTAGTAAGCCTGAAACACTACACTAAAAATTTACTATGCTCATATAATTATAAACATTTAGTCCATCATGATTAGAAAACTAAACCTCAAAGATTTTATTGAAATCTCGGCCCGAATTTATCGGCTACAACATTCCCACAGTTCGGGACCTAATAAACAATGCATCCACATTATACATGGTATTTCACATAATTATCTGTCTATAATATAAAACGATTAAAAGTCATTACAAATCCTACAACTGCCGAGTCACTAACTGTTAATACATGAGTATAAATAATTATGGAATTATGGAACCAGGAAAACTTCTTACTAGCCCTGCGGCGAAGAAACATATCTTAAACCGAATTAAAGAGCAACTTACTTCCTGAAAAATTTAAACAAGACATGTGAATTTTCTAATGAGTATTAAATATTGCACAACACACGCAGTCACACACATGTAAATAAATCAATCTAGTCATCCGACTAGTTATATGCTCAAGCAACCAGCCACGCAAATGACATATCACCAGCACTCACAATCATAACATCTTCATGTAATCACATCACGTGGAAATTAGTCAGTGGAGTCACCGAACCCCCGATGAGCCGTCCTCCCACATGGCTCATCCTCTCACGCACCAGGGGCCGATCCCCCATACGGCCAATGGTTTAACTCCTCACTGACCAGCCTCTCATGTAGTTCCATATCTCTCTTTTCTTTTCCATACCCAACAGGAGGCAACCCGTGGTCTCCTCCAATCTAGATCATCAAGTCTCACAACAGGAGGCCACCCTGCGGGCTACAATCAAATCTAGATTATCAGGTGCGCAACAACAAGAAGCCATCCTGTGAATTTCCATATAATCTATATTATCAGGTGCACAAGGGGGCACCGATCTCCCATTTTCTCGGCCGACGGTCAAATATCATAATCAGGATCCATATCACAGACCGTCCTCACAAACCCATGGTGGTCCACTTCATCCCAATTCCACACAAACAAAGTATAGCATTTTCACAACACAATTAATCAAACATTGTAATCAAATGCAGACATAATGATCAGTTGAACATCGTAAGGCAATACACAATTGGACATCCATTTGCAAATGCAATTAAATAATTACATAAATACCATTAACAATAAACAACAACAACAATAAAATAGATAATAATAATAAGCAATAACAATGAAAATAATTAAATAATTAGATGAATAATAAAGATAACAAATAAATAACTAGAGCACTCTATTTATTATGCATTAAGTTATAGAATTAATCTAAATAAACTTATTAATTATGTTATTAATTAAACTAGTCTAGGTTCTATCGAAATTTCGAAGTCTAATTTTATCAACAATCTCGCAGCACCTTCCCCTAAAAAATTGAACTATCTACCTGCTCACAATCCCCACGAATCTATATCTTTATTCAATCAAATGCACCACAGCCTCAGTCCGTCGGGCAATCCATATCAATTTAAAATCTCCCCTCCCCTTCCTTAACCAACAAGTATCGAACACTCAACCAAAAATTTACCAAAACTTGAATTCGTTTTACAAACTAATTCTAATAATATCCATATGAGATCATTTATTAAGTCATTAATTAATTAAATTATTAGCTTTACGGTAACTAATTTGTTAAACAGCTAAAACATATTTTAACCATAACTAATTATAACTACTACCTATAAAAATTCAATTTTTTTATATCAATATCGAAAATGGCTAGGCCTCCCAAATCTTAATTTATCGAATTTCGATTCTAGTCGTTAACCAACTAAAATTCGCCTTATTTCTCTTATGCACAATCGGCTAGTTTTAATCTAATGGTTATCTAATTGACTAATTAACTAATTCTAATTTATTCTTTCTCCTCAAATCACCTAATCATAATATTAATCATGTAATTTATTTGACAATGTTCTAAACTAATTTACAATTACATTATTCTAAAGTCCTAAACCAGTTAACAAATTATGTTCGCTATCCAAATACGCACACTAATCAATCTAATTTATTTACAAAAGACCATAAATGTTCATATATTTTTAAGTTAATCCAATAAGTTAATGTCTTGTTATTCAATTTAGTCTAGTTAATAACTCAATTAAATTCATTAATCAATTAATGCTTTATATATAAAAATTGAGAATTAAGTCTTAGAACGTACCCATTGGGAATCGGGCGACGATTCCATGATTAGCGGGAAGAGAAGAGGATTCTGTCTCTCGGGGCCTCGCCGGAGCGCCGCCGGCCGGTCACCTGACCGCCGCCGCCGACCGCCGTGCACGGTGCACGGTGGCCGGAAAAGTGAAACCGCCTAGAAAATTGCAAGGTCACCACCACCCGCCTCCAATTTTCGTATTAGACTCATTTTTCTGCCAGAAGTCCGATTCCGGCGTCGGTTTAGCGAGATCAGTCCCTCTCGTTGGTTGAAACGGCTCGCCAGGGCATAGAGCCGCCACCAACGTTGCTGCCAATCCATGGAAGAGAGTCGCACTCGCCTGAATCGCAAGCCGGGGACGGAGACAGTGAGATCAAGCGTGGTCTGTGGCGGACTCGATGGCATTGAGTTATGGCGCTGCTGTCGCGATCGAAGAAAGAGGGAGGAGGGGCTGTTGCGATCGCAGCTTCCAGCGACAGCCTTTTGCATTAGAGTTGAACGGAGAGGCGCTGTGACAAGACCGGACTTGCAGCGGCGAGGAGACATCGGTGAGAAGCTCAAGTGGCTGGATCCGGAAGGGAAAGGGGGAGGAGTCGCGTGCCTGAAGAAGAAGAAGGAGGAAAAGAAAAGAAGGAAAAAGAAAAATCTAGGACATTCTGGTTTGATTCAAATCGGTTCGGTCCGATTTAGTGATTTGGTCTCATTTGTTTGGTTTGCAGGTTTTTATTTTTGCTCGGTTTGCAGGTTTTTCACTTGGTACTTTATTTATATATTTTTTTTTTTTTCAAGCTGTTTTGTGTGGTTTTCGAAAGGCAAATTTGGTTTTAAAGTCCATTTCGATTTATTTTAATTATTTTATTTGGTTCCATTAATATTTTCTCCATTACTCTATAATAATAAAAATATTAATAGTAACAATTATTTGGTTTTAAGTAATTAATTCATACATATTCATAATAAGTTAAATTAAGGGGTTTCGTATTATTTCTCAAGAAATTTTAATCATTCTCAAATCGGGACAATTTCCGATGATGTTTTTTGGGCTTAGGCCAACTCACAACTTTGGGCTCGAATTGGAGATTGTTTGATATATATATAGCCCAACATAGTTGAAAGTCGGATATTTGATTTATTTAAAAATTTCGAAAGGTTTTTTTCGAAAATTCGAATTGAGATTGTTTGATATATATATAGCCCAAATAGTTGAAAGTCGATATTTTTGATTTATTAAAAATTCGAAAGTTTTCGAAAATAAAAATTCGGGGTGTTTCAGAATTAATATAATCTGTCATTGTTCTGGCTAAACCACTAGGCTCCATGAGCTATAAGTAACGAACTGCGCATCAATTTTAAATTAATATAAAATTGCCTCCTTGCGCGAGCTTTGGCAATTGTTGCAAGTCCTGGTTAGCGGTGATTGTCGGTTTTCGTTATATATATATATATTTTAAATCTACGATTTTCCGATAAGACTTCACCGTTCAGTCAAAGGACGAAAAATCTGTGGTCTTCTGACTACATCGTGATTGTTTTGGGAGCACAAGAATACTGCCGGCGACAATGGCCATTGCAGGCCTTTCATGGAAAAAAAAAAGATTTTGGAGAAGATGACATATTTACTTTTTAGTCCCTCATTATTTTTCAATTGTTCAATTGGACTCCAAAACATTTTAATTTATTCAATTAGATCTTGAAATTAATTTTGATTAGATATATAAAAATCACCGCTATTCTATCAAAATCTTTTAAAAAAATCTAATCAATTTCATAAAACTCTACATAAAATTCTAGTGGAATATGTGAAAATCTTAGAAAGTCTTTCAATTTCATCAAACACGATAATTGTTTTAAAATCTTACACAATCTTAATCCAATACGCCTCTAAATATAAAATAACTCCAAATTAATTTATATAGTTTTTTTTTAAATAAGTTACGTAATTCTATAAAAATTATATTTTATATACATGTGAACAGCCGCACGTGAAAGCACGGATCAATCACTAGTAATAAGTAAAGTTAGAATATAGAGCGATAATTACTAAAAAGTTCAATTAAGAATTGAAAAATAATACCCGCTAAAGAGGTGTTTTTGTAATTAGGCTTTTGTAAATATTTTTTTTCCACCGATTTACTTTACCAGCAGTGGACAAGAAAAAACGTGACTGGCTTGTCCTTTCACTTATTTGCTTCTCTACGATTTTTTCCTAGGTCAATCCAACGGCTCAGATAATATCTCTAAGGCCGAGACGGTAATAACTTTCTGTCAGCAGTCAGCACTCGGCATTCATTGCAGTATGCAAAATTTGAATAGGAGACGATAGATAGCCCCAACCTCTGTATTCCGGACCACAGCCAATATTACTGATGGGGAGGCGCTTTTTGAGTTCTCGGTTCGGAGCAAGATTTCTCTAAGTTAGATCTGAAGGTAATTTCTAAGTTTTATGAGCTTTTATTATTTTCTTTTTCAAGGTAATTTAAATGATGCAATTTTTTTGTTATTTTTTTTATATTTTATATTGTTCTAATCTAAATTTTGAAACAGATCCCATTAAAAAGAATTATTTTTATAGAAGAAACTCGTTATACAGAAAATTTATGGCGCATGAAATTGTTGGGAATTAACTTTTTTTTTATTATTTTTTCGAATTTAAATATTTTATTTTATTAATTTTTGGTAGGATACACTCTTTGAAGAAAAAGATGAAGAAGCTTTTATTGATGTGCAAAGTTAATGTGCTGTTATTAAAGAATCAGTTTGAAAATTTTTCTACAATCGACATGGGTGGAGAAGGGAAGATTACAAAAATATTCCGAGTTATATAGGTAAAATACTCATTATTCTGTATAATATTATTTTCTTTAATTTTCATTTAATTTTATATTATCAATTTATAATTTTTTATAATTTAAGAATATTAATTTACTGCCTTCTATTTTACATACATGATGTTAATTTCTCTCGATTTAAGATGACTTTTGAGTAGTCTTATGGTTATTGAGATCTTTATTCCGCGTTTAGACTTACTTTCAGTACACTGCTATCAAAATAAATTGTTATGGATTTCGAATTGCTGTCTTAAGACTTTCAACATGATCGTTGATTCAGGGACGGCAGGGACGGAGGGAGTGCACGACGTATGAATACGATTCGAGCTTGTAATCGCAATATTAAAAATGAGGTTAAGGCACTCACGAGGGAAGGAGATAAAAAAGAGCTGTCGGCCACGGCGTCAAAATTGCTAGGCCTGTATTGGGAGTATTTGTTTCTTTTTCATTCTGTAGAGGTTACAGGTAAACGCTGTTCAAGCTTGCATGCACGATATCAAAGATAGGGTTAAGGCCCTCATGTCGATTTTGGCATTAAGCGTGTTATGCCTCCGTTGAGAGCATTTCTCTCCTATCCGAAATTGTAAGACAAATGAATGCAATTTGAATTTACATTCGCGATATCCGAAATTGTAAGACAAATGAATGCAATTTGAATTTACATTCGCGATAATGAAAACACGATTAAGTCTTTCGAGAGAGAAAGGGATGCCCTCATTGTTAGGGCTGTTGGTTTTTGCGATTAGAGAATACATGTTGTATTGTTATGTTATATCATTTCATTTAGTATAATGAAAATACTGTAAAGTCTTTCAAGAAAGAAAGGGATGCACTCATTGTTTGGGCTGTAGGTCTTTGTGACTGTGGAGAATACATGATGTATTGTTATGTTATATCATTTCATTTACTATAATGAAGACACTGTTTAAGTCCTTCAAGAAAGAAAGGGATGCCCTCATTGTTAGGGTTGTTGGCCTCAGCTATAGTGGAGAATACATGTTGTATTATTATGTTATATTATCTCATTTGGTATGGGTTGAGATATATATGATTTTCATTAATTGTGTGGGCTTTGAGGGGAATAATGTTTTATTAATTATTTCTTTTAGTTACAATGTTTATTAATTCTATTTTACTTGCTATATATTTTTTATTTTCTTTTGTTGTTATAGTTTTTTTTATAATAATAAAGTAACGTGACTCAATGAATGTAGGCATATCGTTGAACCATGTAAATACTCTTTGCTCTTATTTTCCGTTTTATCTCATTCTATTTTTAATTATATCTATATTTCTTTAAATAATTTAATGGCATTATTAAAATATCAAATATCAACCATCTTCTAGTATGCATATATAGTATTTGACTAAATGATCATTAAATGAAATTTAAATATAATTGAAACACAAACAATATATATATATATATATATATATATAAATTGAAACACAAACAATTATATATTATAATATTATTAGCTATTATATATATAATTCACTTGGAGGCACATTGAGGAGGTAGAAAATGCCAAGCAAAGCGACTGGAAAGAGAAAGAGAAGCAAGAAAAATGGTGGAGGTGGGTGCAGGCACAGGTAACTGCCAAATTACTAATTATTATTTATCTAAACTAACTGCCAAATGTTAATTTTGATATGGATGCAAAGACAGTTACTGCATAAATTTTAATATTCCTTTTTTTTTTTTTTGAAAAGATAAATTTAAATATTACTATTAGATTTACATATCTCTCTATATATAGATGTATAATTTGCGGAAATTGAGTTGGAGCAATATTACAATATAGTCCATATTGAGTTATTGGCATTATTCCTTTATATTTGTATTTTTTTTTTATCTTTTTCTTTCTTTTTAAGATTTTATCACAATTTTAATCCAAAATTCTGCACTAGAATTCCAAAAGTACCTAAATTACATTAAAATGAAAATAGTAACATATAATAGAACTTTTCAATTATAATTTAACTAGGCGGTCTTCCTTACTTCGCACGGCTGTACAGTTTTTTTTTTTTTTTTTTTTTTTTACAGTTTTTTTTTTTTTTTAGGTGTAAGATACATGTATCAAGTAAATTGCTAAAAAGAATGAGGGTATAAATATATAATTATAATTTAAATGTATAAGGAAACATTAAAACTTTTTATTCTAATTAAAGTGAAACATTACTCTTAAAATAGCATATGAAGGAAAATAAGAAAGTGAAAAAAAGTTAGACTATAAGAGAATGCATTATATTTTAAAGTCATAAGAATCACAAATTAGAGAATAATTTTTAAAATATAATCCATAAAAGTCATTAAATTAAAGAGAGATAAGGAGAAACATTTTCTCTCCAAAATCTTCAAATTTTCCTAACTAAGTTAAAACCAAATATTTAAATCTTAGAGAGTTTTATTCTCTAAAGAGAGCTAGAGGTGAGCATTCGGTTAATCTAAACCATTCCAAAACGAATAATTCAATCCAAATATGATCGAATTTCATAAATCCATTATCCAATCCAAATCATATTTAATATAAAACCTAAAGTAATAGAACCCAATAATATGCAATTTTATTATAAAAACGGCAATTGTCCGAATAACCGAATTACCATTTTCAGTTGCTTAATTCAAACCAATTACGAGAAGTATCCAAATCCAAAATTTCTCAATATGTGTTCCTATTTCTAAATTTACAGTTTGCACTCTTAAAACAATTATATACATATGCTTATAAATTTATAGACAATCATATAGAATAAAAAATAATAATAATAAATTAATTAATTAATCTAACAAATCGCAAGTGTCCAAACAAAAATTACAAATGCAGTCATATCTAAATCCAACTATCCAAATAACAGTTAATATAATTGACATTAAAAGAAGCATTCATTAAATTTTCAGTTACAAACTTACAGTTAGTAACCAATTAAACATGATGTTTTTTATAAATGATCTCAAAAGTTATACCAGATTATTGTCGCCTGTCACAAAAACTATATAAATATAGTTTGCACTCTTGGTTTTATTTTAATATGGGGTAAAAATGCAACGTTTTGACAAAAAACAAAATTGAGATAAAAAAATATATACATTTTGAGTACTAATCTGGTTAATTTAGATTAACCGAAGTTTTTTTAAGACTAACCGCACCATAATTGAAAAATCAAATTAATATTTATAACTAACCGATCCAAACCAAAACTAATTTATTGGCAGCCAAACCAAACCAAATTACTCGATTCGGTTTGAATTTTCGGTTATATCCGCCAAGTGCTCACCCTAAAGAGAGTGTCACATCAGCATCTATGATTCTCCTTTATTATATACAATTAGTGTCACATCAGCATCTATGATTCTCCTTTATTATATACAATTAAGTGAAGGCCGGCGTATCTATGATTCTCCTTTATTATATACAATTAAGTGAAGGCCGGCGTATTGCGCAGGTTAATTTATTGATATATGTTATATTTTATGATTTATATATATATATATATATATACGAAAGCTGAAACAAAGAGAAAGTTTTAAGGCGTTGTCTTTGTTCAGTAATCTATTTTTCTTTTTTTAGAAAATTTTGAGTGTTTTTCTTATTTTTTATGATTTGATTGGCCAACAAAAATTTTTTCTTTTCAATTTAATATTTAGAATCTAGTAATGATAATTGATAGCTTTTAAAACCTAATCTAATTCAACTAAAACCTTATCTTTTAAACCATAATCTAATTCAACTAAAACGTTATCTTTTAAATTTTTGAACCTAAAATATAGCTATATATAGTTGAATTGAACAATATTATTGTTTATATTTCTACTGTGAAGGCTTTTGTAATTAGAGGTTAGTTTTTTTAATTTCTTATATTTATTATTCATTTTCATTATAAATTTGGGTTGGCTGCAAAATATCAGTATTTAGTACCTTTTATTAGTGGAAGTTCGATTTAGAATTCATTTATTTTTCCCATAAACAAATGTTTTTCTCCATCCATCAAGGTTAAACAAAATTGAAAAATGATACCTACCCAGTTAAACCAAAATCAATTTTTCAGGATGTGTATTTCTGTGGTGCCTATTAAAGAAAGAGATGCATGACTTCATAAGAGAATGTGATGGAGTCGCTGGATTTAGATGTTCTCCTTTCATCTTTCTATTTTTCTTTTTTTTTTTTTTAACTTGATTCTTTCGTATATTGTACCATAAATTATATTTTCTTACAATTAAATATAATAAAATCAAATTGAAAACTCAAAAAAAGCAAAACAAAAATATTAAATTAATTTCAAAATTTTGAAAGGTTCATAAACTTTCTCATCAGTAAAATCATATCAAGATTATTATTGCACAATCGTTTTTTGTAGAGCTCAAATTGATGAAGCAACATGTATACCATTTTAATTTTTTTTAAAGTTGAATGAATAATGAAATAATTTAGTTATAAAATACTTTATGTATGCTTTTAGCTTGATACAAATATATAGATATATGTAGATTGATATCAAAATATAGATAGACACACTTAGATATTGTTATAAATATAGATAATATTTTTTTAAAAAAAGAAAAGAAGATTAAAGTAAATATAGATAGACACACTTAGATATTGTTATAAATATAGATAATATTTTTTTAAAAAAAGAAAAGAAGATTAAAGTACTAATTATCTACACATATCTATCAAATATATAGAAAAATGAAAGAAAAATGTTAATAGATATATGAAAAGTCGTAGATATATAGATAAGTCACCTAAAAATAAATAAAGAAATAAAACATATAAAATATATTCCATTTGAAAATTGTTAAAAGTAATCTTTGTATCTAAAATCAAAAATTTAAATTTTAATATTCTTGAAAGTTTTAGAAAAATTGTCCAAAAAAATATATAAATCGTAACATCCCGACCCGACAGAGCAATCCTAAGAGCGTGGTAATGAGGAAAATTAATCATCAGATGCGCATTTTGGTGCAATAGCTTGGAGAGTTGAAAGAACTTCAGTTAAGCGTGTTCGCTTAACGGAAATCTTAAAATGGGTAACCTCCTGAGAAGTTTTCAATTTAAAACCGTGCAGATCTTACCAACTTCCCGTGGATGGAATCGGGCATGACGTAAATATAAAAAACATTAAGAATTCTTATAGCCAAAAATCAAAACAAAAGGATCTAAAGAGGAAATGAATATGTATATAAACTCTTCAATACTTTAAGTATTTAAAAAGATATGAATAAACTAATGGAGTCAACAAAAAACAAAAGAGTTTGCATCACAAACCAAATAGCATGAACAAAACTTATGTTGTGCTTGCTTAATTGTTGAAGGCTAGAAGTTAATCTATGCCGGAAAAAGAGAACAAAATAAAAGTCAAGTAATTGATAGACGAGTCGTTAATTCATGAGAGGCTAACTGAGAACTAATAAATAGTTGATCAATGACAGTGTGAGAAAATATCATAAATTATAAAATATTGCAAAAATCTGTTTTAAAAAAGATCATATATTGATAGAAAACCTTATAGTCAACAAATGAAATTAGACAAATGCAAGCCACAAATAACTTACTTACAAGAGGGACGGTAGAAAATTCATGTAACCGAGCTAACATAAGAGATTATGAATTTATGAGTCAACCGTTAGCATCACCTCAGTAATGTCATTATTACTCCATAAAGAAAATATGAAGGGAACACCAAAAAGTAATAAAATAGTCAATAATGTTTAAGTACCTATATGGAATAGTTAAAGAAGCCAGTGTATTTGTTAGCAAAGAAAGACTTCATTGTAAACAAAGTAACCAGAGAAGTAAAATGCAACTGATTTTATTTCTGCATTGAAAGTCAAGAGAAACCTTACTCGAAACAAACAAAATTTTAAACTCAACACTATCCTAGTCCTAGAAAATAGGTTAACTATAGATCAATCTTATTGAGAATTCAAGTTTGTAACATCCTAGGCCTATTGAGATATTGTCCGCTTTGAGCCCAGACCCGCACGATTTTGTTCTTAGGCCAGGGAACCACCTCCCAGCCCAAAACACATCTTAGTAGCTTAAGGCCTGCCACACCT